AGCCACTAAATTTGTAGTCACATAACAATGAAAAACTAATACAATGGGATTAATCATTTTTATGTGAGAAGTTTTACAAGTAATAAAAACTACCGAAAACTACATCTTCTCACTGTATGATGTTCCCCACTATTTCACATCTGTTTACTTATGACCTAAAGTATTAAAACACTTTTATTTGACAACATAATTCTTTATTTCCACATAGAAACAATGATTGTTTCCTCCACAGCACTCTGCTATTTTCCATCTAAGAAATAACAGAAAAGGTCATTGTGCTAAGTATAAAGAAATATGAGGCACTTGTTCCACAAAGTAAAACCTTAAAATATAGCATAATATTTAAAAGTTTTGTTTCTTACCTCCTTCTATAAAATGTCATCATAGGCAGTGTAATCAACTGACAATAACGTCAAGTGATTCACATTTTGATTCCAGTCATTATGAAGATATTTGTGTGACACACAAATTTCAGCCAATATTCATGGTGAAGAGATGAATTTTTAAAGTTACAGAATTTCAGCAATGAAAATTATTCTAGAGATCATCTAAATCTAAAAGTGAAATTTTCAGTGTTAATAGAGTTGAATTAAGTCAGTGTTTCCCTCTTACCCTTTGCAAAATTTCCTAAAACAAAGACAGAGAGGAAGAAGTGTAAATCCAAACTGTATTTCAAAAAAATTACGAGAAGTCTGAATCCCAGAGTAATAAAATAGAAATAAAAATTCAGAAAGCAGTGAAGATGAATCAAGGCAGTGGGAAGATATTAAGAGAGGAAGCCCATTGCTGCAAAGCTAAGAAAAAGATGCCAAATTTCACTTTTCCTGAGTAAGTGGCACAGGATAAGATATCAGACAGTCAGTGGCAGGAATTTTTCTTGACCTGCTTTGGCTTCTAGGAGTAGAGTAATTATCATAGAATCAAAGAAATAAGCCATATTTGACAGAAGTACTTCAGGAATGTAGAAGGGATGTGCAGAGAAACTCTGCATATTTGAAGGAAATATTCTGTTATTAAAGCTGTGAGAAGAACAGCTACAACTGTAAATCTCAGCTGGCTGTGGAGAAGTATAGTCTAATATATATTTATTATGTATATTAATATACATGTATTAATATATTAATTATATTAATATAAATATTAATAAATATATATTTATATATAAATATATAATATTTATTTAATATAAATTTATGTAATATAATTTATTATAAATATAATATGTATTTATTTTACATATATTATATAATATATTATAAATAAATATAATAAATATTAATATATTGTATATAATATATTATAAATAAATATTAATAAATATATATTATATATTAATATATATTTAGGAAATTTTAGGAAATATATATATACATACACACGGATACAACCATGTCATAAGAAATATTTCTGCCAGCCTGACTGCTGCCCATACTAAGAGGTGGTTCACAGAGAAAGAAATCACCTCACTCCAAAAAGTGATCAGAAAAGCTTCAGCTAAACTTGTATTATTGGCACCAGTAGAACAAGTTGTTTCATGTAAACCCTCAAGTTGATAACTAAACAGTAGGTCAATATACTAAAAATCCCTTTAAAAACTGACAAGACAGCAAGGATTTACAGGACCAATATCCAGAAGAAAATGGCAATCTAGTATGGAGAGTGCAGCATTTGTCATCAAGTTCGAACAGCAGAATTAAATTTTTCTATTTTTATCCTTTATTTAATTGGCTTTTTAAAAATTCACCTCTCTTTTCACTATATATATAAAATACCTTTTCTACCTTTACTGAGGTAGGATTGATAAATAAAAATTGTACATACTTAGGTTATACACCATGATTTTTTTTATTGAGGTCATATTGGCTTATAACATTGTGTAAATTTCAGGCATACATTATTATATTTCAGTTTCTGAATAGACTACATCATTTTCACCACCAATAGTCTAGTTTTTTTCTGTTACCATACATGTGTGCTCCTTTATCCTTTTCACACTCACCCCACTGTCTCCTCTGCTGGTAACCATTAATCTATTTTCCTCATCTATGTGTTTCTTTATCTTCTACATATGAATGAAATCATACCATATTTGTCTTTCTTGGGCTGACTTATTTCGTTTAACATAATACCCTCAAGGCCCATATACGTTGTTTTAAATGATGCAATTTTGTCTTTTTTATGGCTGAGTAGTATTTCATTGTATATATATACCACATCTTATTTATCCATTCATCCATTGGTGGTCACTTAGGTTGCTTCCATGTCTTGACTATTGTGAATAATGCTGCAATGAACATAGGTATACATACATCTCTGAGTTGTTGATTTCATGTCCTTTTGATAAATACCCAGGAGTGGGACAGCTGGATCATATGGTGTTTCTATTTTTAATTTTTTGAGAAATCTCCATACTGTTTTCCAAAGTGGCTGCACCAATTTGCCTTCCCGTCAGTGGTGTATGATCGTTCCCCTTTCACCACGTCCTCTCCAACACTCGTTATTTCTTGTCTTGTTAATTATAGCAATTCTGACTGGTATAAGGGGATATCTCATTGTAGTTTTGATTTAATCCATTGTGAGTTAATTTTTGTATCTGATGTAAGTTAATGGTCTATTTTCATTCTTTTGCATGTGGTTGTCCAGTTTTCCATACACTACTTATGGAAGAGACTTTCTTTTCTGCATTGTATTTTCTTGGTTTGTTTGTCAAAGATTTGCTGTCCACGACACGATTTTTTTAAGGTGTACAACACCGTGATTTAAAAGATGTATACATTGTAAAATTAACACAACCAAGTTAATTAAGACATTCATCACCTCAGTTACCACATAACTAAAAAATATTTTGAACTTCTTATGGGTGAGGAAACACAACTAAAATTAGCAGTAAGTCGTATAAAGCACTTCAACAATGCATATATGTCACATATATAAGGGATTTTCTGTCCTTTTTACTCACATGCGAACAAACAAAAACAAAAGAAAATTCTAATATAAAGATATATTTATTTATTTTCCTTACCACTCTAGCTCAGATACACATTGATATATTTGGTAAACCTCCAGAGTTCTATAAATCACACTTCTCTGACTATACAAAGTCCCTCTACATAAACAGTTAGCTAGAAAAATCCATATCAAGTTATTAATAATAATTAGGACTTTAACTTTTCTAACAATGAATGTGGTATGTAAGAGAGAGAGTATAAGAAAGAGACATTAAGAGGGATTCAATAAAAGAAAGAGAGAGACAGAGAAAGAAACTGAAAACAAGAAGGAAAACCAGAAGCCTTGGGTATTCATGATGACTAAATATCTATGTAGATAAATAAGCTCACTGGAAAAGAAAAAAAAGCTGAGCTTATCATTCAGTATAGGTACACAGAACCACTAAATAAATGTCAAAAATTTAATTGTGTGTATGTGTATGTAAGGATACATCCAGTGTATCTAAGAATTATTCAAAGACCAAAATAAATATTTGAGAATTTTTCATTATTCTTAATAGTAATAATTATTTTTACATCACCAATATCACATGGGCTGGTATACTCAGACTGCTATGTTTGTGATAATAGTATCATATATCAAATAGAATATTGCTTCTACTTTAGACAAACACTTTCTATTCGTCCTAGGTTTTATCTCCAATTATCTACTATAATAACTTCTTCACCTGCCATATTCTGCCTTACTTGCTGATTGTTTACATTCCTATCTAATTCTTCGCCCTAAAGTATAAATTCTTCAATGGTGAAGACTGTTTTACTTGTTATTTCTCTTATTACCATAAAAATTGAATTGATTCATGACCAGAGAAGATAAATTGTCACCAATGAAGTTGTCTTTGATAGTAAAGTCAATATACTAATTTCAAGATTATGTCTTAAAAATATAGAGTTCTGGGCACAAAAAGAATTAGTTAATAGGAAGGAAAACTCAGTTCAAACCATCCCTATTATGAGAAAAGCAAATTTAAACCTATATCACACCCTTGTTATGTTCACAGGCTAAGTTTTACATACTATAAATATTTCTTGGCGATAACGTAGATAAATAAAAACTGATAATCATCTTTGATGCTTCTCACCTTCATGTCACACATCAAGGTATTAGCAAATATTGGAAGTTCTATGTTCAATACACCTCCAGAATTTAACAACTTTTCTTACCTCCGCTACTGTCATCCTGGTCTAAGCTTCCAACAATTCTCATTCAAAAGATTATAAGGAAATGCTAACTGATTCCATCGTTGCTCCCTTACTCTCTATTCTCAACATAGCCTTTATTGTGACTCACCACAGAAATCATTTCAAGTCAGTTCTTTGCTCAAATGCCCCAATATCATGCTATGTCACCTAGAGTAAGTGCTGAAATATTTCAGATGGCAAACATAATGTCAATTTCTTGCCATTCTCTCCATTACCCACAGAGTTCCAGGCACATTGGTCATCTTGTGTTTCCTCACACACAAGAAAGGCACTCTGTCCCAATGCTCTTTCACTTGATGTTGTTTCTATATAGAATATTATATCCTCAGATACTTGCATGACTCACTCACTCATTTCCTTCTGCTTCTGCCCAAATGTGACTTTTTTGGAGAAGACTTTGTTAAATCAAACACACACAAAAGTGCCCAGCATAGCGTGCTGTTTCTTCCTTACCTTCCATAATTTGCATTACCTTATGACAAAGCCATGCATTTATTTATTCATATTTTATTGTCTGCCCCTGAATTAAAACAAGATCCATGACCTCACGGATCTTTTTCACTGCTGTATCCTCTGCAAGTTGAACACTGCCTGCTCAAAAAATACTTCGAATGAATGAATGACTAAAGGAAGAGTAATTGGAATCATATACGTGAAGAACATAGTTACCAATGGTACAAATTTTGGGAAAGAAATTCAAGAAATGTATCAATTTATCATGTATTAGAATATGAATACCATAAAGATCAGTGCAGTTTTCATTTGTTCTAACAATGCCACTGATTTTCTTTAGGCAAACAGCTTCTTCCCAAAGACTTTCTTCAGAGCCAACATCACTTCCTTATTCCTAAGGGTATATATCAGTGGATTCATTACTGGAGTGACAGTAGTGTGTATGACAGCCACAAACCGACTCTGTTTTACAGAGGTGGCAGAGGTAGGGGTTATGTAGGTGAGCCCCACAGTTCCATAAAAGAGAGATACCACCATGAAATGAGAGGCACAAGTGGACAGAGCTTTGTGGAGCACACTGCAGTTCCGGTTCTTGAACAGAAGAAAGCTGATAATATAGCAGTAGGAGAGCAGGGTGAGAAAGCATGCTGCCATAGCTAAGCTGCCAGTGACAATATAGATGAGCCACTGATTGAGCCGTATATCCCCACAAGCCAATTCTAAAAGGGGCTTGACATCACAGAAGAAGTAGTTGAGTTTTTGAGAGCAAAACTTCAGGCGTGCAGTCATGACAGAATGCATCAGAGCATAAAAGAAACTGGTGAACCAGGTCACAGCTGCCAAGAGAATACACACCTGGGGGTTCATGGTGACAGAGTAACGAAGTGGGTAGCAGATGGCCACGAATCGGTCAAAGCCCATCATGGCCAGCAAGATGGATTCAGTGCAGCCCAGAAAGTGGAAGAAGTGTATCTGAGTGATGCAACCTAGGAAAGATATGGCTTTACGGGTGGAGAGGAGGTTTGACATTAGTTTGGGCAGTGTCACTGAAGAATAGCAGATATCCAGACAAGAAAGATTTCCCAGAAAAAAATACATAGGGGAGTGGAGTCTTGGCTCTAAAATGATGATCAATAATATAGCCCCATTTCCCAACAGGTTTATTATGTATAGAATGAAGAAAATCATGAAGATTACAGGTTGAAGTTCCTGAATGGAGATCAGACCCAGCAAAAGAAACTCATTCACTGTCGTGTAATTCTCCATTACTTTAAGAAGGAAAGATAACAATGACAATTAGCAAATATTTTCCAGTGCACTGTATTGGTTAAGTGAAGCAAGTTTATCATCTGGAAGAACATAAGGATGCTTCAATGAACAGAATGACTAGGAATGCTAAAGCTGAATTCATCTGCAACATAAGGAAAACAAAAATATATGATGCCCTCTGAGCCATTGTGGTATATGTGATACACAGTACGAGTAAAGGTACTAAGAATGCTGAGTTAAACCTAAAAAGAAGCTAATAAATAATAAAAGCTGATAGTCAAAGAAGACATAAAAGTAATAGAACAGAACTCAATTCTAGCTGCATCTGTGGCATTAAAATTAGTATATCTAATTTTAGTCTGTCAGAGATGCATCTATAAAATTTGAAAACACTTTTTAAAGTGGAAGGCGTGAGTACACATTAATTCTGGGTATTGATAGTAACATGGCAGTAGCCTAGATCCAAATTTCCTAACTTGTCCTAAAACAAACAAATAAACACACAAATTAAAAACAAAGGGGAAAAAAGGAGAATGAAATTCCCCAGAATCTAAACCTTGATGGAACTAGAAAACCTTTTTAAAAATCCAAAAACTTCAAATAATATGTAGGCAGAGGGAAGACAAATGAGTAGAATCCGTGTCAGCAGTCACAAGAGTGCATCAGAGCAGCATGGCCATGTTTACAAGAAGGAAGAACCCAAAGCACTGACCAGTTGAAATAACATTTAAAAAATGGTAAAATAGGGGGCTGGCCCCGTGGCCGAGTGGTTAAGTTCGCGCGCTCCGCTGCAGGCGGCCCAGTGTTTCGTTGGTTCGGGTCCTGGGCGCGGAGATGGCACTGCTCATCAAGCCACGCTGAGGCGGCATCCCACATGCCACAACTAGAAGGACCCACAACAAAGAATATACAACTATGTACTGGGGGGCTTTGGGGAGAAAAAGGAAAAAATAAAATCTTTAAAAAAAATGGTAAAATAAACAAAACAGCTCTTTACATACTTAGTTACTTGCACAAAAAAAATTCATACACACACTATATACACACATATTCGACTATATCTACATTAAACAAAAAAGGAATGATTAAACAGATCAAGAAATTCAAAGCTTTTTAGCTAATGACTTGTGCCATAAGCCCATTTGTTGTTCCATCTTATAATTTCCACAATCTAAATTCAAAGAGATTTCCCAGTTATTCTCACTCACCCTTTTTAGTCATCTCAATTTCTTTCCATACAAAAGAAAACAAATCCTCCTTCTAATCTAATCTGTTTTGTTCTACCTAATATCTGTGTCAACTGAGTTTACTCTTTACTCCTGTCTGTACACACCTTGGAATAAATATACACTTTTGGTGCATAAGGAAATCCAAGAATCAAGGTTGTAATGTATTGATTATCTCTTTGAATAAAATTAACAAAAGAGTCTTGGTTGCTCAGAATCTCATAAGACAAACGTCTTATATCTAAGTGTTAGAATAAATCCCAGAATATTTGGCCTTCATTCCTATTCTGACTGGAAAATAAACAAGCTGAATCCCCTCTGACTCTTGCTAGTGGTGTCCCATGCATAGATGTCTTGGGATGTCTTCCCAAAAGCCTCATTATTCCTTTCTCTTTCCAGAGGTATTTATTTTTATTTTTGGCATGCATTGTGAACATTTTTCTACATTTAACATCACCACCACCAACAAAAATAGTCATGCAGAGTCTTGGGTTGTTGAATAAATGAGAACAGGACAGGAAATATGAAAGAAAGAAAGGACACAGTTCCTACCCTTGGGATACCTAACAGCTAGTGGATACAAACTGTGTCATTACTTAGAGAAAGATATTTAAAACTAAAAGAGAAGTTTTCTAAGAGGGTAAATCCTATGTGTTCTCACCAAAAAAAAAGACAGTAACTATATGAAGTGATATATGTGTTAATTAGCTTGACTGTGGTGATCATTTTACAATGCATACTTCTATCAAATCTTAAAGTTGTATATTGTAAATGTATGTATTTTAATTATCAATTATACTTCAATAAAGCTGGAAAAAATAAAATAAAAAATAAAAGATGATGAAGTTTAAACTGAGCTCACTGCACACAGAGAAGGTACATGGTTTGACTTGAGAAACATCAAACAGAAAAACAAAAGTAGAATGAAAGACAGATTACTTTCAAAGGAGCAACAGTTTGAGTAATAGCTGACATAATGTGAACAATAGAAAACAGAAGTCAGTGAGAGTTAATATCTATCCATATAGACTGCATACCAAGCAATCATATATTTCACAAGTGAGAATGAAATAAGGACATTTTCAAAGAATAAATTGTAAGACTTACTATCAGCAATACCTCACTAAAAGGGACCCTAAAGAATATACTGCAAATAGAAGGCAAGGCAAGAGAAAACAGGTGAAAACTCTGGGATGCAAAAAGATATAAAAATCAAAACCCATGGTTAATAACTGATAAACCTAAATAAACATTGTTTGTATAATACATGATTAATGTCTACTGGTGTTAAAAAGGAATGTCTATTTTAAAAGTAACATAATCATTTAAAACAGAATGACTTGAATGGAATTAAAGTGTCCAAATGTTCTTAGATTGATAAATGTACATGTTACAATTTCATGGGCAAAAACATAAAAGAAAAAAACAGAATGCAAAACTTCCAAATTAGCAGAGAAAAAACAACCAAAATGATAAAACATACTGACTCAAACTAAAAGAAGGCAAGAAAGGAGAAAAAAAGGTCAAAAGGCAGGATAAATTGAAAGTACAAAATTAGTATTGGTAGATACAAATTCAAATGCATAAAAATTACAATAAATATAAATGGACAAAAAGCTACAATTAAAAGACAAAGATTATCAAACTGGATTTATTTATTTATTTTTTTGTGAGGAAGATTGGCCCTGAGCCAACATCGTTGCCAATCTTCTTCTTTTTGCTTGAGGAAGATTGTTACTGAGCTAACTTCTGTGCCAGTCTTCCTCCGTTTTGTATATGGGATGCCTCTACAGCATGGCTTGATGAGTGGTGTGTAGGTCCGTGCGCTGAATCTGAACCAGCAAATGCCAGGCCACCGAGTGGAGCACATGAACTTAATCACTACACCACCAAGTAGGCCCCTAAACTGGATTTTTAAGTGACATAATAATGAATTCTCAACATTTATTATTAAAGGTATTAAAGAAAAGATTACTTCTCACAGAGTAATTTTCGATTGGCAGAACAATATGGAAAAGAAGGTATGCAGATACCTCCAAAATTATCTTTGCAAAAATTATTATTCTATTATAAACATTTTTCTTGGGCTCAAAATAGATCCTGGCTACGAATGGAAGGAATTGACAGAGATTCTTAAAACCTACTTGAGCCACAAATGTTCTCACTATGATTGGTTCATAGATGCACATGTTGAAGATCACAGACTGTGGAGCCACACCTCCTAGAGTTTTAATCTTGGTTCTGCTAGATACGTGACCTTTATTTAAACTTTCTGGACTTTGGTTTTCACTTCTGTAAACAGAGGATAATAATGGAAGCAATCCATGTGATTGATGGTGAAGATTAAATAAGCTAATATTTGTAAGTAAACAAGTTCTATAATAGTGATCACACAGAGACACACACATGGGCACATCCATGGTCAATAAGAATTCTAAATAATAAGGATAAAGTCATTTTGCAAGGAGCAGAGAGAGAACTTGTGAAGTCAAGAATCATAATCTAGAAACTCCAATCATTTATCCAGAATTTTATCCAGGTCTACTGCAGTATGACATTTGCTCAAGGATCAATTTTTATCAAAACTCAATTTTTTCTTTCATGAAAACTGACTAGCTGATTCTAAATTAACAAAAAAGAATAGGAAGCCATGTAATATCAAACCAGTTTAATGAAAATTAATAGTAATTGATGAAGAAAGGACTTTCCTTTCTTTGTTCTTGTCAAAGTTATTATGAGTAAAACTATACACTAAAAGCATGAGCATGGACAATTAAACCAAGAAAGTAGATTAGGTAGCATGGAAATAGAAATATTTCTTTTTACATTGTGGTATTCGAGACATAGCATTACAATACCAGAATGGTTGTGAAGGGGAAAAACTTGTGCTGGAAAAATTGACTCAACCTATTTGATTAAAAACCAAAAAGGATAAAAAGACATCATCGTTTCACATCATCTCTCCTCTCCTCATAAAAATGACAGATGTAAAAGAGATGTGAATGTAATAAGTAAAAATTTTAAATATCTTGGAGGATATATAAGATTATATCCTCATGGCACACAAAAAATCAAAATCATTGCATCAAAAATGATCACATTTGAACCTTATTAAAATTTAAAGAGAACAAACTTGTGTATATAATGGATATCATTAACAAAGGTAAAATGAGACAAAACAGGAAAAGACATTTGTTGTACATACAGCAATAAAAACATTAGTAGCGCTCAGAAATACTTTCTAATCCAAAGGAAACTACATATATAAAGTCTACTCTAAATTAATAAAAAAGAAACAAACAAAATGGAAAAGTTTACAAAGAATAACAGAGACAATTTACAGAGAAAGAAAACCAAATGACTAACAAATGAATATATTCTCAACTTCCTGAAACCAGAAATATTCATTTTAAATCCTCATTAAAATATGATTTAAAGTCCATCAGTTTAGCGAAAATTAAGTTATGGAAGTGAGTAATAAGAATTCATTCACTCTTGGCAGAGTCTATGTTGATTCGATCATTTTGAAGAGCAATTTGGTAATACCTAGTACGATGAGAACTGTGCATACCCTAAAATTTAGTGCTCACATTTAAGAACGTGCTTTAAAGAAACTCCCAGTTGCTTACACAAGGGGCAGAAAGAGGATCATTGCTGCAGTGCTCATAACAGGAAGAAACGAAAATAATCAACTATCTGTCTTGAAAAGACAAGTTTTTATTCACACAAAAAATAGAATTCTGTGCAACATTTACAATGAATAAACTGTTT